TTTAATAAATGTGTGACACTATTTAAAGATTATTTTTTTTTTTTTTTTTTTTTTTTAGCATTTTTTTGTTTTTGTTTTTTGTCAGTTTTTTGTGCTTATCCCAGAAAAATTTATCATCTTCCCCCTTTTTTATTCTTTCTTTTGTTGGCCTTTGATTCCTATAGTCAGTTCTGTTGTTTTCATTTCCCATATCAACCCCAAACAAACCCATAAGATCCTGGATAGCATTTAGCACAAACTTGAGGAGCTTTAACTTTGAGGACCCGTTGCTTTCTTCATAGGACTATCAACGTTCGGCTTCAATGTCATTATTAATTCAAGGTTTTAATGATGGATTCAAACTCTTCTTTTCCCACAGTGGAAGGATTTACCCAGTAGGATAAAACCATTTTGTACTCTGCAAAGATATTTGTTTAAGTGTGGCCAACAATATTAGAAAAATGTTGCTGCTATAAAGAAAAACAGAAACAAGTAAACACATTATTTTTAAGAATTGTCAAAGAAATTTGAGGGAAGTCAGCAAACTAAAATGGCATGAATCCTTTTTCCAAAAGGCATTTAATGGGATCTTCTTCAGGACCTCAATTTGTCCACATGAAATTCTCCTTCTTCGATCACCTCCTGAATATTTTGGATTTCATTTCTTCCTATTGGTCAATCCAGGCTGTGCCATCCAACTGAATTTGATGTTGGCATATGGAAACCAGGGGCCTCAGTGGATCATAGATACAAGAAAACTAACAGCAAAAGGCCTTGGCTTTGTGAAGATCAGCACCACCCTTTTTCTAGCTATGTGTACATTTTTAAGCCAGTTGGATCAGAGGAATTTCCCAAAGTGTTGTTTTTAAAGCTAAATACAGTCGTTTAGTTGTATTGTTGTTCCACTTTAGAAAAAAAAAGGAGTAATTAAAAAGAATCATTGAAAGCGAAAAATGAACAATATGATTTCATCTAAGCTTCTGATACTTGGCTTTATAAGGAGACTCAATAAACCAAGAATGGAAAGGCTTTCATAAGCAATCTAAGCATGAATAACACCTGTTATTGTGTGGAGCTCCTCGTTAGCTGCAGCCCACACGGGTGAAATTATCCCTCCAAGTTTGAGGCAAAGATATTAAACCCTGGTTTTGTTTCTGATTAGATGTAATGTAACTTTGAGGGAATAGAGTGGCTATAGCTGGCAGGTTATTGGCCAAAAAACAGTTTTTCCTGAAATAGAACATCAGCCATCTTCAGAAAATGTGATTGAAGGTCCTCTGCTGTGGCATAACGCTAACCAAGAGCAGAGAGGTGTTGGAGGCTTAATTTTAGTGTAACAAGCTCTGCATCAGCCAATCAGAGATGTGGTTGCAGGTGGCGGAGCTGATCCCTGGCTGCACCTACGACACCTGCCCACGGGGCCGAGCCCTGCTCTATTATCAGCATAAAGAAAATCAGTATCAAAGGCAGGCTAACAAGCACAGTGTGTGCCCGTTGAAAAGTCAAGTTTCATTACTGCCTGCTTCTTTTTTTCCCCTCCACACTCTGACCTACTGGGTTCTCATGCAGTCACAGCTAGAATTTCAAATAAAGAGGTGAAATCATGTGACAAACAGGGAGGCCTGTAATTTCAAGGTGCACTTTGTGATGATTAAACCACAGCCTTTCTTTCACTTTGATTTCCACATTGGGCTTGGAGGGCTGGAAAAGCCTTTGTTCCAGAGTTCTGCTCATTTTCTGTGCAATAAGCTTTGTTTTTTTTCTTCTTTACCTCTCCTCGTTGGGTGACACTCATCTACAAGTTAACCAACAGTTTTATCCTATACTTCCTCTTTTAAAGTCACTAGGTCCTTCAGCTGCCACCTCACATAGCGTCTGGTTGTTGCCCAGTTGAATGAATTGGATAATTAGAGCAGATTTGATAAGTTTGTGGAAAGTGTGATTCTATCCGATAGTTATTAGTAGTCAGTGTTTAAATTCAAACAGACCAACGTCACAGTGATATAAATTTGGAAAAATATAAATTTCATATGTAGTTGCAGTTTATTTTACTTTTAATCATACTATTGGGTGACAATCATAAAGTTTGTTTACGTTTATGTTGTTTTTACCCCAGCAAAGTGTGCACTAGCATGTCTCCTTATTTTAGAACCACCAAGAACGACTAGAGGAAGAAATTTGGTCCTGTTGTCTGAGGTGCCGAAACCCCGATAAGAAGTTCAAAAAAAGGCTCCTTTGGGAATTATTACCTGTTTTATATGCTTTAGTAGAAAAAACATCTTTGCGGTAATTAATCCTTAACTTTCAGCAATTTTTTTCAGACTCCATACATGATATTGCTTTGTGTAGAAAAACCAAACACCAAGTATAAGTAATTTCTTTATGAAGGCAAAAAAAAAAAAAAATCTGTTTTATTTATGCAAAGTGTTTTCAATACAATATGTTTGCAATATACATCAACAGACTTGATGTCTAGATGTAGACTGGAAGCTGTTTGAAGTGAATTGATTAGTAAACTGACTTCATTAGAACTACAGGCGGTTTTGCGGCTGTTGATGCAAAATTCGGCGTCTGAAAAGGAGAAGCTCACTCCCAGTTTGCATCGTTGACAACCCGGTGACATTCAAGCTGATTACATCAGTATGAAACTTTTACTCTTTAAGAAACCAAAGCCTGATGTGCTGCAGGCTTTCATCCAGTGTAAGATTTTCCTCTGGTTCCTCTCCATTAAGTTCAGTGCAGGACAGGTGATTCTGAAAGGAATATTAAAGAACCTTACTGCAAAAGATCCAAATTAAGTAAAGCCTTATGAGTTCTAGAACATAAAAGATAATACATGTTCTTTAAAAAGCTCCATTTTAGCTGTTTTTTTTATTCCTTTCCCTTAATACCATCTCTTTTTTGACCTATATGTCAGAAGCTTCCTGTGCTTCTGTTTCCAGAATAATGAAGCAGTTTTGTTTCCTATTTTCTTTCCTAACTCTGTTCTGTAATCACCATTCCACAAATAGCTGGATGTTGTTAAACCTGCAACTCAGTCTCTGAAATCACCCCAACGATCCAAAAGAAGTTTACATTTGTCAATCTGAGATGTTGAGCTTTCCACCAGGATCATTTCACAGCCCTCCTCTGCTGTACTTGGAAGCTCCCTGATGTGCAGAGCTCCATGCCTCCAGCTGTATAACACGGTTGTACCCCTGCCTGTCCTCCATGTTTGAACTCTGACCCCTAACACCTCCACCTCCTGCGCAGAGAAACTGATCTGAAAATGCAGATGAGCTCTGCACAAATTACTTCTATCTTCATTTTATTATTTCTTTTGGGAACTTTTGAGTTTTACCTAAATATAAAGAAAATGTAAGAAAAAAAATTGTGAAATAAAATATCTACTTAGCATGACTTTTAAACTTTAAAACAATAAAAAAAAAAAAGGAAAAAAAAAGATAATAAAAAAAAAAGTATTGGGAACATGTTTAAAAATAAATATTGTATTCTGTTTAATTTTGACAGAATTATTTTTATTAAAATACATCCATATGCATATGAAATGTGTCCTGTTGTTATTTGCTGTTTTAATTCAAGTGAAACACGTAATATAAATTATTTACTAACAAACTAAATTAAATTATAAGGATCTTCCTCTCGTCTCTAATGAAAATAATTAAAGCAACAAAGCACAATATTCGACCCAATAGCTGGCTTAAGCACTAAGCTAGCGATATAGTAAATGATTTCTTACAAACCCTTATATAAGTTGAGATAGTTGGATCCATCACTGAATTAGTCATGCGAGTCCCGCTTTACAGTAATGAGCTCCCCTTAAACAGCAGAACTAACCTGATAAGGCATATTTTTAGTTTTCTGATGCAGGATTTAATTGTCCTTATAAGTAACTCCCATAATTTCTTATTCTGCTGGTCCAAAGTGGTCAGCTATCAGATTTTAAACTACCATGAAGAATAAGGTGGCAATTGATGGTGCCATTAATGCACTGCAGCACCAGCTGTATTTTAAATACCTATCCTGGGAGCACCTCATCAGACTTGGCATGACGTAGACTTAGATTTTGTCATTTTGTTTACACAAGTTTAAAAAAAAAAAAATGTGTTTGCTCTCTGGACAATTTCATCTTTTTTTTTTAAAGTGCAGCCTTGAAAAATAGTAAAAATGACTCTAAATTTACTGTTCTAACTTTTTTCTAGTCATGTGTCTTTTCTCTCACACACAACAAATAGCTTTATTCCATATAAACCCCGTACATATATACAGTATGTACAAGATCTGCTATAATTTAAACAGATGCATAGGCTATGTTGAGAGCAGGAAGTACAATGAAAGTTTCTCCATGCTTGGCTAAACAGGAGCTACTGTAATTTTGGAGGGAGAAGCAGGCTTGAATGTCACTACCACCAATGAAACTATATATAAAATGGTATTTTTATGGGTAAACACCTAATTTTTGGTGTCTTTTATACCCAGGAAACAGACTGATAAAAAGTACCTTGGTCGAGTGGAAATAAATGCAAGGAAAATTTATTGATACTGCACATTTCAGTAGCAAGACAATTCAAAGCGTTTTACATCAATGAAAAGTACATTGCATTGGCACAAAGGTTATTTGATATTAGACATGAATAACTAGAAAGGAATAAAATAAGTAATAAAAAGGCAGAAGCATTGTTGATCAACATTAACTTTCTAATTGACTTATTAGGCAAACGTGAAGACCATGTTAAAATAATGAATTTTTTTAATCATGAAAACAATTAGTTTTGAAGGTCTTGCTGAAACATTAGTCCTTTAATCCTGGAGATGTTCCTCAGGTGATAGACGGCTTGTTATTTTGAAGTGGAGAGGGAGGG